ATCAAATTAGAATTGGTTACTGAGCTATTTTTAAATTCTAACTGTTTTTAGTATTTGTAGTTGCAGTCTTATGTTCGGGAAACAGCGACCTCGAATTTCTAACCGGCTAAGCTTCGTGATTGTAAGTTCTGTCACGTAAAGGAGGCTGAGATACCTATAGACTATTGTCAGAATTTTAATTCAATTCCAACAATCAGATAGGCTAGATATGTTAATTATAAGCGATAAGAATCGATCCGGAAATATTCCATTTGCATATCGAATAATTTCGCAACGTCACTATTTAGTACTTGTCATAACGTTGCAACACTGAAATTGTCAAATCTGGAATCGAATTAAAAATTCCGAGTATAGCAATGGATTTTCACAGCCCATTGACCGAAGATTTTCAATCTTATTACCTATACTATATGCGCCTCTTTTGAGTAAATTAACGACGTTATTGATGACTGTTTGTCATGTTTATAATACTAGCTGACCCGGCATAGCTTTTACTGGACTTCCACGAACATTTTAAGATTAAAATAAGTCAAATCAGTTCAGCCGTTCTCGAGTTTTTGCGAGACTAACAAACGGAAATTTATTTTTATTTCAACCATAGATACATTAATAAGAGAGATATACTTACGTACGTACTTGTAATGTAACAACCACAAGTGAGCATATCAATATTATGATCGACGCAATGATGAAGCACTTGTAACATTGTGTACTATACTCGGGCCTAGGGGGCGACAAATGAGACCTAAGTTGTCCTGGATATACACTACAAGTTGTGAACACCACTTCTTAATATAATTAAGAAACCACCGGTTATATTACTACCTAAAGGGCCGTCTTAGACTTAGAATTCGGGGACCGTTTGGAATGTTTTTACATACAAGTTTACATACACATGGCTAGCTAAGGAGGAGGCGGGACGCATGAGGCAGCGAAGCGCTGCCTCCTCGCAACCCAGCCATAGCGAAGGACACACCGGGCGTCGGGGATCGCGGGACGATCTCCGGCCACCGTAAGCACGGGCCTGCGGACGGCGAGCATAGGTGGCTCCCCGTCCGACCAGAAACAGACCCGAACATACAGCGCGTCGCGTTCCGCGCGCGCCTCAAAGAGCCATCAGACCACCACAGATGGGGCCCAATAGGGCTGTTGCCGATTCGGAGTCGCGGAGAACCTAACGCGTCACCGGGGCTCCGGCTCGACGTGCAGGAGAAGGAACGGGGTGGTTTTTAGGCAGTAAGAGTCTGACACTCCCTTCCGCCTCACCCAGGCGGGAGCAGCCATTCGATGATTTACCCCCTTAAAAAAAAACACCCAGACCCGAAACAACAATCTGCGGATCACACAAAGATTTGCTCCGCCCGGGAATCCGACACGCTACACGTTGCGTGGTCAAATTGTTGGTCCTTCGGGGCCTGCTGAATATGGGAGCCTGGGCACGGGCCTCAAGTGCAGTTATGGTAAAGACAGTACCTACCTACGTATATACCTGGCTACCTATTGTGTAGCTTGACAGTCCACTGCTGCAAAACGGTCTGTCTCTATGACAAGATTTGTCAAAATCACATAGTAATTTAAAAAAGTTTAAAACTAAAGCATTATTGTCCGGTTTTTTAATGTATGTCAATGGTTATACAATGATTTATTATGCACTTTATATCATCGGCGTAATTAATACGAGCATTGAACCGTGGACGAACCCATCTGAAATTCAGTATTCATCCTTGACATGGTCTAGATATTTGTTTACATATTTACTTTGTTGCTAATTATTATATTTGCATATTATTATTGGAACATAATTTTTAATGGCATATATATTATAACGGCTCAGCCACAGTCTAACTTGGAACGGTAGTCTGTTGTATATTTTGTAGTAAGTCTAAGTCGCTGGAATTAGATAGGTTAGATAGGTCCCCTCATCTTCACTATCCCACGGAAATACAATTAAAGCCACTGGTAGAACCTCGTTTTATCTATTTATGCATACTAAGATGATAGTGTCGTGATGGCTCGGAGGTTTTAGACGCCCGCTTCTCATGCATGAGGGTGCGGGCTCGAAACCCACCGACAGCAAGTACCAATGTGACTTTTTCTGAGTTATATGTATTTGTATTTTCTAAGATTACAAACGGTGAAGGAAAACATCGTGAGAAAACCTGGGCTTATAATTTCTAATTGTAAGTTTGAAATCGCCCACCCGCATTGAGCAAGCGTGGTGATTAATGTCTTCTTCTTCTTCGTGTCGGAAGAGGCTTTGCTCATTATTTGTAATACCCGGTGGGCATTATTTATAATACCCACTGCTGAGCAAAGCCTCTAGACAGCCCATAGGCTGTGAATATGGTAGACAAACTAGTACACAGAATTTTATTCTATAAAAGTAAATAAGTTCGTAGTATAGGTAACCAAGGCAGGTTTATATTTTGATACTCATTGGCTATAATCACATTGAAACATTTAATTTTATACACAGAAATGGACGAGATCAGATGACGTCACCAGTTAGTATATCGTTTAATGCGACGATAAGCCTGCTATCAGTGTCACTTGACCTGAATGTAACCCCTTTATGTAATGTTTGTTAAAATCACGACAGAATGGTATATGAGGTAATTGTTTTTGTCATTTGGCTGATTTATTACAAACGTGACTGTTGAGCATAGGGCCGAAACACATAAATGCGTTGCGTCGCCGCAACGCTAAAATCGGCAGTGACGCTACTGTCGATTCTAGCGGCGCGGCGCCGCCTAGTGCCCGTTCTCGTAAGATATAAACCCTTCTAAGATTACTTTTTTAATAAACAAGAAGCATAACATGACATCACATAACATGACGCCTTTTATCCCCGAAGGGTTAGGAAGAGGTGCACTTAATGCCACTGTACAATGTAATACCCACTTTTCATTATTTAAGTTATGAGTACCATGTAATAGGGGGTGAGCCTATTGTCTTCTACCGGGCTCGTTTCCAGACTCAGTGCTACTACTGAGATTTTCTTGAAAAAAACTCAGTAATATTTTGCCTGAGAATCGAACCCGAGACTCATTGCCCGGCAGTAGCACCAATCAGCTAATGAAGCGTAACATCATGATTATTTTATTAACCGACTTTCCAAAAAGCAGGAGGCTATCAATTCGGCTGTATGTTTTTTTTTATTTGTATGTTATTATAATCAAATTAAAATTGAATACAAAATTATCTCTATAGTTCAAAACAAAACAGCATGTTAATGAGTATTTCGTTTTGTTTAAACAGTAACATGGATTCCAGATTAGTATCCAATGTCCTAAGCACATTGACTTGGTTTCTTTTGTCCTATGTTTATGTAGATACATATGTCGGTTTGTAAACTCACCCCACTGTTGGTTACTTAGGAGTAAAATGGGTGTGATTTTATTACATCTCAGTTGATTTCTGTACGATATTTAATAAAAAATGTCAGTCTGTAAGCCAGTCCTCTAGTGAAGCTATTTACTCGTTCCAAAGTGTAGTTTCCTATGGAAAAGAAAAAGCAAGAAACTCCATAGGTTACTCGTTTTTAATCAGGTTCACAATTCAATTCGTGGTTACATTGTTTCGTTGGTTCAATTATGTGAGAATAATGGTTACATTATTGGTGTTACCCAATATTCAGTCAAGGAGAAGGAAGAATTAAAGAAAGAATTGGATTAAGACAGAAAGAATTCGCTTGAATAAACTTGATACTTTATAATAAATGTTAGATTCAATGTATGTTACCTATAAATGTAAAAG